TTTTTTTTTTTTTTTTTTTTTTTTTTTTTTTTTGCGTTGTTAAAGATTTTTAAAGGAAACGTACCTTTCAGAATGCACGGTTTCTACACCGAGGAATGTTGATATAAATGCGGCACAAATCTGCAACCATGAAAAGAGAATAAAAATCCGTTAGCATTTTTCAATGTTATAAATAAAAAATTCTTCGAGTATTACTCAATCTTCCCGTTCTTCTCCAATTAAAGAAAAGAAATAAAAGAAATAAATAAAGATGAAACGAAACCATATTGAATTATTTAAATATACAATCACGAGTTTATACATCGAACTAACATTCTTATATCACGATCGACACAAAATGTCAAAAAATCATCTTCGTTTGCGATCTTCTTCTCTCCAAACATTCGTCATCGATCATATCTACGTATTTTTATCGACTTCTTTCGAAAATATTCGTACAAACGTATCACAATGACCTCTTCACTTCGTCGTTCCACCACCGTCGTGTAACAATTCACTCACCGTGATCACACACGCGATCCTCATCCCGCTGATCGTACCACGTCCAACTAGATCCTACACTTCACCGATCCTACTATGGAGACATCTATCCATTGGCAACGTCTTTTAAAGCTTCCCTCTTTCCAAAGAGGCACTTGTACGGCAACTGTTTAAACTGGACTTGACAACATTGTTTTGCGTAGGTACTGCTACAATCGACGGTTTTCTCTTGAATAAAACGAGAAAAAAGAAGAAGAGGAAAATATAGAGATACTGACTGATCTTAGAGGCTGTTTCGCGTCGAATCACCGGGAATTGGTGCGCATCACGCTATCACTTCCTCTCGAGTTATAATGCATATATGATCAAAATGAAGATATTTAGAATCAGGAAGCGTTAGACGAAATTTAATTGATAAAATTTAATTGATAATTTGTAAATTAGGTAAATTAGATTTATTGAATAGATCAAAGGATCTATGTTATAAAAAAGAAAAGAAAGGTGTAAAGATATGTTAAAGATTAATAGGAAGCTAATTAAGATAAAAAGTTAAAAATTTTTTGGAAAATAATTCTTCTAATGTGAAATTTCTTTTGCAGTAAAATCATGTTCTAACTTTCGATTGAAAAAAATAACAAACGTTTTACGAATTTAATTGTTTGAACTTTTAACAAAAAATGTAAAAATACTTCTAAACGTTTACTTACTATTTTTTTTAAAAAATTTATTTCTCCTATAAACTCGTATTGACATGCATTATGAAAATAAATTATTGAAAATCGAAAATTCTTGCAAGTTTATCCAACAGTTTCCTAAATGAAAAAAGCTTTTATAAGAAAAAAAGTTGACGAAAATTATTTTATTCCAAAAAGTTTTGGGCGAACGAATATAACGTTTAAATATAACGTTTTTAACGTTAAAAGACTGTGGCCAATAACGCACTATTCAAAAATATATTTTTTCCTTTCATTTATATATGTATATACACATCGAGGATCATAAATATCGCCTCTTAATTTCCACCACTAAACGCGGCAATCTCAACGAAAGTGAATTTTCCTACTCGAAGCTACTTTAATTAGAGGAACGAACGCGAAATGGCCATCGAGATTTTCTATTTAAGTACATAATCATCGTCATTGATTTCTTATCCGAAAAACGACGAAGCCCAAACTCTCAGAGTTACTCGCTTATTCCAAGATATACCTGTTTGCGTTGCCAATTAATTGATGTGAAACGAAAGTAATGTACTCGTCTCGGCTAAGATATCGCGTCATGATAACCATAACCGGTGATAAGTCGAACGAGTGGTAGCTATTAAAAAGATTCAGTAAAAACACGTCAATGTGTAAATGATAATTGAAAGTGATAGGTAAAAAGTTGAAACTGTGGAATCAGTATGCGGGAAAATCTTGTTCTAATAAGAAAATAATCAATCTGGGATAAGTGTTCACTATAACGTCTCTATAAAAATAAAGATTGGAAAATTACGGAGTGTATAATATACATGGTATCTTTTTTATTGCGAAATGAATTGTACATTCTACATGTTTCTAAATCATTCTGGAACATGCGATGTGATATATAATTATGTGCGTTTATACAAAGTTTGATTTATAATTAATTAGTTTTTTAATTATTGAAAGTTCAGGTGTAATACATATAAAAAATACCATTTTGTAATATTCTATATATATATATATACATATAATATATGTGCACAAACGAAGAGTTCCTTGTTAAATTTTTTCTAATTAGTACAATTTTAATTGCTATTTGCTATGGAGAACAATTACATTTTTTAAAATTTCCTTATTTCTACATATTGGAGAAAATCTAATCGAGAAATTTGGTCGTTTTAATTGAATGAATAATATCATCTATAACAATGTATAATACAATTGTTTAAGTGATATGAAACTTTATTGTAAAATATTCCACGCAAAACTCGTAAATCCACCTAATTGTAATTAAAACGACGCTTTCCATCGAAACGAAAACCATAGGCGGCGCTGTTCGGTGCGCCAACTAGAGCAGGGTTTTTGTACTGATGAAAGGAGCCGTGTAGATGCGGAGGCCTTACTGCGTTCTGTTCCTGATCCTGTGATCCTTTTAGATAGAATGCCTCGAATTGACCCTCTGGTAGCAGAATATCCTTAAGCGATTTGTCATTTGGATCGTAGGCGATTCCATTTGTGACCAAAGAAATTAAAAGGGAAATATACTGGAATTGTAAAAATAATTCTAGGTTATGGTACATGATACAATTGATTGAAGTATATATTTCGATAATAATTTCCAAGAAAAAAAGTCCTAATATTATGAAGATAATATTACAACTTAACAAGAATTTAACAAGAACTTGAGAAGAAGGTTGTCATTGACATGATGATTCGATGATGACTTTAAATGACTTTCAAATGACTTTATGATTTCAATGATTCTTATAGTTATTTTTCAAATTATGATATAATTTTAATTTTTAATGTTTTGATTTTTCAGTTCTTGACTTTGAAGATCGAAATTATTGTAGCCTTGACAACGTAATAGCACTAATTGCATATAAATAATATTTTAATAATATTTATTATAATATTATATAATAATATTAATAGCATTTTTCAATTTTACATTTTCAAAAAGTGATCCCGATAAAAGAAAACGTAAGTATTTAATATAAATACATACCATAAAGATGAAAGAATTTACTGCCATACTTCGATCCGTATTCAAAGTTGATCGAAGCCCTATAATTATAAAAAGTATTATAAATATGAATAAAATAAAAGATAAAATGAATTAATCATGAATTATATCGTGAAATGCGAATATCATAAATCACATAATTAAAGCAATGATATTTAAAATAATTCGACTCGCATGGTTGAGATATAAATTAGCCAAATAGATCGTATTTTGGAGAAGAGAAAATGCAAAGATTTGCAATTTTAATTACTAGTTAGTCAATTTCAATTTGAATTTATTTATTTATTTATTTATATCAAAATAAGCGAGAGTGATTTATTCAAAATATTATTTTCTATAGAAATTAAACATGATTAATCAATCCAATATACAATTTTGATATAGATTATAAATGCAATTTATGATATTATATGTATATTTCATTAATGATAAATAATAATTGGAAAAATTTCTAATAGATTTTTTTCATTAAGCTAAATAATATTCTGATTTCAAGACGATATATATTTTCTATTTATCTTTCCCTTGATCACGATGAATAAAAAAAGTAATCAGTCATGAGTCACGAATTTATTTGCCGTTAATTTCGCGAGCACGCAACAGATTTATATTTCTTCTTCTTCTTACATTCGTTTGTTTGTTTTTTTTTTTAATTTACACACAATTAAAAATATTTGATCGAATTAAAAAAAAATTCATTTAATAAAAATACTAAAAAATTTTTATTGAATGAATTTTTCTTTTTAACATTTAATATTTAATATTTACTAAAATGAAGAAAATTATTAAAAGAATAAAAATAATTTTCAATTTATCAAGACAAAAAATGGAAGTGTAGATACATATCTATATATAAAATAGATAACTTAATTAAATTCAATAAACTTCGCATCATTAATTGAATTAAATAATTAATTACTAATTTTACTTTCATTTTTATTCAACGATTAAAGCTAGTTATGGAAAAGATATAACGATCCCGTCAATTCAAAAAATTTATTGAATTTAAGTTGCCTAAATATTAACTATATTATAAAAAATTCTTTATCATAAAAAGATTAGTAAACTACAAGTTTTCATGATCAAAACTTACCGAACGTGGTCGTAGCAAAAGTGAAAGCCACTCCGGCAATCGCACACAACAGTATAGAAAGACGTTTTCTTTATACACATTTAACGACCTTGCAACTACCTAGCGCCCCCACCCTGAAGACCAAGAGCACATTTAAGATTTATAACGAAACTAACGAAATTAGAAAATACAATCTTGAATTTCACCAATGTTAAACATATTATGCATAAATCAAGTGTTTAAAAGTGTTTAGAAAAGATTAAATAGTAAAAAAAAGTATAAAAGAAAAGTTTTTTTACTGTTCGTAAAGGCGAACAAAAACAATACTAGTAAATGTAAAAAAGTGTATTTGTACAAAGTGTACAAAAAATCAGGTATCGTCGTAGGAATACAATATTGAAGAATAAGAAAATGTAATTAATTATGATATGCTTAAATTTAAAAAAAAATATATCTTATAAACAGTTATTACTGTTACAAATCACCAAATTTGATCGAAACATTGTAAGTTGATAATTAATATATTAAATTTAAAAAAAAAAACAAACTAAATCGTTCGTAAATATATTACGCTATTATCACAATGTGCAATATATATGTATATTCTTTAATACAGTGCAAAAAATCAGTTTCATTAACTCTTTGAATTTTTTAAAATTCGCGAATAAACTAATGTCATGTACGTATATTCATTCACATATAATATTCGCATAGTTTCATTGTATATTAATTTCTATGATATAACGTGTAATTGTATATTAATACAATAAACAAATTTCAGTTTACGAGTAGTGTTGATATTATCATAGATAAAAATCAGCTTAGCGTTGTCATTACCGCAGTACAATAATTTCAATATTTTAGCACAAAAAGCTTTACAAGAAACATACTATATCGTATGCTTATAAATTTACATACTTTAACTATAATATATATGTACTACATATAATGTAGTACGTTATAAGTATCTTTAAAAAATGGTCGCAATAAAATAAGAACGTTAGGTAACAATATAAGATTACAAACATTCTATTCACTTGTACATGATACGTCATAATTATTTTATATTTAAAAATATTAAATATCCCTGGGAATCAACCATAAACCGTAATACATATTATACGGAATATAAATAAGAATCTTGCTTTGTTTTTCCTTTTGGAGGAGAAGTAAACGGCGAAAACCAAGCAATGGAAAATCTTCCAAATACAGCTTGAATAGATTTCCATCTACTATTACGAACCCACCTGGCTTCTTCTTTTTTAAGTTGTTCAATACCCTACAAAAAGAATAACAAATAAATAATCTATTTGAAAATATACGAATTTTTTTAAATAACGTATGCATACAGTTTCATCATTCCAAATTGCTTGTAATTGTGTTCCTAACATTACAACTGTAAAAATGGCAAATAGAAGGGCTTCAAAAGCCAAAAAAAGTAATAATACCACTGTTGCAGGTGGACTAAATGTAGAACATTCTTTCCATTCCTGTCTTACACATGTAGCAAATTGTTGTATACATAAGAATAAAGAATGTAATGACATTCCTGCTATATAGAACTAAAATAATATTTATATAAATATTAAATTACATAATAATATTTTGAATTTGCATATATTTATAATAAAACTCACAGTAAAAAGTACAAAATATTTTTGATTATTTTCTCCAACACAATTATTAACCCATGGACAATGATGGTCCATTTTTCTAATACATCTACAAATAAAATATGCAAATATTTATTATTATTCATTTTTTTATGTGTTTTATATGTATTTCATTTTTTTTATATGTTATATATATCATATAAAAATTAAGATATTCAAAATTATATATACACTTTTTGTACCTTTGGCAAACAGAACAATGATGTGCCCTATCAGGTTTAATAGAACAACATTTAGGACATTTAAAAATAACTTGTCCATCTCTAAATCCCATTTGTTCTATCATTTCCTTTGTAGCATTTCCTTTTAGAACAGCACCCTATAAATATTTTTTTTTATTAAGTTATTAATATATATTAAATATATTAATTATATATATTTCAAAATATAATTTTTGCTTACAGGATCTGTAAACATTGTCTTTAAATGAGATGCAAATGCTAAAAAAGCTAATGACTGAAATATTGCAGTATTTAAACTAGAATATAAGGTATTTATTGTAGGAATAAGAATAACTGCCATTACTACAAACTCTGCATAAATTATTAATAACCATGTTAAAATTGCACATATAATTCCACATATATCCTATAATAAAAAAAACAAATAAAAAATATTTAAATTATATAATAATGAAAAATTATTAAATGTTTATTAAATGTTTAAATTAGATAATAAAATAATTATACATACTTTTATACACCATAATCTTCCACCATAGCATTTGTTATGAACATCTTTTTCTCTATGAAATGACATGTAATCATAATCCATGATTTATTACTATTTATTAGATTTTTAACTATTAATCATATGAACAAATTTCAATATTGTTTATTAACATAATTATGGTTTTTGCTTAAAATAGAAATTAACGTAAATATTAATGAAATTTCATTATATATGTTATTCATAATATATTATAAAATAATTATTATAAGAATATAAAGAAATAAATTTATAGTATGAAATAACACAGAATCTAACCTCATACACAACTATTCATATTATTTCTTCATAGCTCCTTAATAATTGAATAATCCACATCAACTTTTACTTTAATTTTTTCCATTATGATATATTCAATATGCTTATCATGAATAGTGAATGTGGAAATTGATTTTTTTGTCCTCACCTTTTACTCAATTAGCCTAAGCAAGGGTACATTGACTAATTATGTTATGTTATTAGTAAAAAATTTCTTTTAAATATCCAGTAATCATTTCTTTATATCTATTCAAATTTAGGGTAAAGTAAATGATTTGAAAATGAAATTCAAACATGTTATCACGTGTAGATTAATATAGTTTGGTGTTTGAACGTCACCGATTCGCCATTGAACAGCATTACGAACGCACCTGACATTCAAATGAACAGATGTTTTTAAGAGAGATATTTGTAACATAAATATATCATGTTATCCGATTAACATTAAGAAATATTAAAAAACAATAAATATGGATATAAATATTACTAGATACTACCGGTTTTAATGTTGCTGTATGTTATATGCGACTGGAAGTTTGACAGTACATGATAAGGGTGGGGGCCACAGTGCGCAGCCATATTGGCTACTTGTGACTTTTGGGAGGAAGCGAGCAAAAAATAATACAACTTTTCTCATTTCTACGTGAAAAAATGTTGCCTTCAAGGATTTTTCATTGATTTCACACGTTGGTCTTGTTAGCGCATATACTATTATAATAGAACGTGTGATCATTTTTACAAGCTCAATCTTTTTTACGAAAAATGGTATGTTACTTTTTGATTAATAAATTCTTCGTCTTGGAAACACTTTAATCATTCATTATAAAATTTGACAATTTCTCTAACGTTACTCTTTTATTTTTCTCGTAGAGTTTCTTTGGATTTGGTCAATCGGCTGATATAGAAATTACTTTGGATGATGCAGAAACCAGAAAGACTGCAGACATTAAATCTGAAGATGGTAAAAAAGAGCGCCACTTGTTATATTATGACGGTGAAACCGTTTCTGGAAAGGTAAAAATATTTTTTTAAATGAATAGATATTAATAATATAAAAGAAATATTAGTATAGAATGTTACTCATAACCTATGATGGGTATTCGAAAACTACAATTAAGTAGGCGTAAAGAACAAATTACAAATACTTAATTTTATCTTATTATGCATTAATAATTCTTATTAATATTATAATCTTCTAATTTATTTATGCTTATATAAGTATTTTTAAATATATATTTGATTTAATATTGCAAAATAATTTAATATCTTTAAATAAATATATTTATCTTATATAATTTGATAAATTCAAATCATAGAACGGAATATATGTAATAATATTATTCTTTTATTGAAACATTATTTCTAATATATAATTTTATATATTAAATACAATTAATAAAATTAATATTGCAGATTAATATTAGTCTTAGGAAAGCTGGTAAATTAGAACATCAAGGTGTAAAAGTAGAATTTATTGGACAAATTGAATTATATTATGATAGAGGAAATCATCATGAATTCACAAGCCTAGTTAAAGAATTAGCTAGGCCAGGAGAATTAACTCATAATACAGTGTATACTTTTGAATTTGCAAATGTAGAAAAGTCATTTGAAAGTTATACAGGATCTAATGTACGATTGAGATATTTTCTCAAAGTTACAATTGTTCGAAGACTTAGTGATATTGTTAAAGAACTTGAATTAGTTGTGCATACTCTTAGTTCCTATCCAGATATGAATAATCCTATTAAAATGGAAGTTGGAATTGAAGACTGTTTGCATATTGAATTTGAATATAACAAAAGCAAGTAAGTTACTGTAATAAAAAATTTAATTGATTTAATGTATATTTATAGATTTAATATTTATATTTATCAAAAATATTGGATTTAGAAAAATAAAATTTTTATATTTTCAGATATCACTTAAAAGATGTTATTGTTGGAAAAATATATTTTCTTTTGGTTAGAATAAAAATCAAACATATGGAAATTGCCATAATAAAACGAGAAACTACTGGTTCTGGTATTGTATAATAACAAATTTTTTCTTTTTTCATAATAATAGTTATAATAATTGTTTGGACTGTTAATTAATTTTAATATCTTTTTTGGAGAAAATGTTTTATTTTTTAAGTATTTGTTTTATGTTATATAACCTATACTATAGTTATAAATAGAATATATATTTGCAGGTCCACATACATTCACAGAAAATGAAACTATAGCAAAATATGAAATAATGGATGGAGCACCTGTCCGAGGCGAATCTATCCCTATAAGAGTATTTTTAGCAGGGTATGATTTAACACCTACAATGCGTGACATCAATAAAAAATTCAGTGTTAGATATTATCTTAATTTAGTTCTTATGGATGAAGAAGATCGTAGATATTTTAAACAACAAGTAAGTTAAAAAATATGTTCATAATTTATTAATTCTTTATTAAAAATACTTTTTACAATAAAATTATCTCTTAGGAAATAACGTTATGGAGAAAAGGTGAAAAAAGTAGAAAATCTCAAACTGCTTCACCACATATGCCATCACACTTAGTATCGGCAGAAACAGGATTTCCACAAGGAGCTGCTCAAAATGGTCCACCATCTGTATCTCCACCAATTCAACAAGGACAATTGCCATCTAGTAATATTACCAATGTAGAGGATGCACAAGCACCTATAGAAAGCATGACACGTGAAGAAGGAGATGGTGAAGGTGCAAAAGAAGTTAATTCTGAAAGTAACTGAATTTTTGCATATAAAACAGTTACTGAAGTCAATGGAAGTTTTACTAATTCAAAGAATAAGTAATAACTTCACACAGAACTAGTAGTTTTAAATGGAACTTCTCTTATATTGTAAAGAGAGATTGAATTTTAGGAATTATGAAAAATTGAAACATCTGCAAATAAAGTTGTAAATATTTTGGATACCTATAAATAATGCGGATGATTAAATTGATAGAGTAGCCAATTATCGATCAAAATTTCAAATTACTGAGATCTATAAATAATATATTACAGTGTCTAATGGGACAGACCTGAAATAATTAAACAGAAAAAATAATATAAAAAAAATAATTCAATTATATAAAATGGATATTCATAAATGGACAATTTAATAACTGAATATTAATCAGTGGTATATTCTTGAACAGCATCTGAATGTTACAGTGTTCAGAATATTTTATACAACCATATTATGTGTTATATTCTTAAAGATCTTTATCAAAATCTTTTGTGTTATATTATTAGATCTCTCAAATGACTAATTTGTCATACGAGAGTTTTATAAATCTGAAATGAATATACATATACTCACAATGGCTGCCCTATTTTAATCCATTCACCTAGTCTACAACTAATATGATAAAGGCACTGGGAAATACGCTTTTATATATAATAAAAATTATTATCAAAATAATTTTTGGGAAAATGTGATTTTTTCAATAAAAAGTTTTTATTGATATTTGCAATAAATATAATTATGAAAATATGTTAAGACATATATGCACTTCATATATGATATAAAATCAATAAGATCAATAATTCTGTCCCACTAACTAAAATAGTATATTTATATAGTATATATACAAATCACTGAATTGTATATGCTAATTAATTTTTTAATAGAATTTTTATGCAATTTCAAGAATCATATATAAATCATTGTAAGAAATACATGCCTTAGCATGCTTATTCAATTTTTAGTATGCCTTTATTAATATAAGAGTG